GAAGTGCAGGACCCGGCACTTGGCCTTGTTAGACCTCATCCAGTTGGCTTCAGCCCATTGATTCAGCCTATCCAGGTCCCTCTGCAGAGCCTTCCTACCCTCAGGCAGATCAAGACTTTCTCCCAACTTAGTGTCATCTGCAAACTTGCTGAGGGAGCACTCAATTCCCTCATCCAGATCACTGATAAAGATGTTAAACAGGACTGGCCCCAAAACTAAGCCCTGGGGAACACCACTTGTGACTGGTCACACCTGGGTTTAGCTCCATTCACCTCAACTCTCTGTGCTCCCATCCAGCCAGTTTTTAACCCAGCAAAGAGTAAACCTGTCCAAGCCATGCCCAGCCAGCTTCTCCAGGAGAATGCTGTGGGAGACGGTGTCAAAGACCTTACTAAAGTCCGCCTTCCCCTCGTCCACCAAGCAGGTCACCTTGTCATAAAAGAAGATAAGATTAGTCAAGCAGGACCTGCCCTTCCTGAACCCATGCTGACTGGGTCTGATTGCTTGGTTGTCCTGCTTGTGACTTGTGATGGCACTCAGGATGATTTGCTCCATCACCTTCCCTGGCACCGAGGTCAGACTGACAGGTCTGTAGTTCCCTGGGTCTTCCTTCCGGCCCTTCTTGTAGATGGGTGTCATGTTCGCAAGCCTCCAGTCGACTGTGCCCTCGCCAGTCAGCCAGGACTGTTGGTAAATGATGGAAAGGGGCTTGGTGAGCACTTCTGCCAGTTCCCTCAGGACCCTGGGGTGGATCCTATCTGGTCCCATAGACTTGTGTATATCTAAGTGGTAAAGCAGGTAGCTAACCACCTCTTCATGGATTATGGGGGCTTCACTGTGCTTTCCATCCCTGTCTTCCTGCTCAGGGGACTGGGTACCCAGAGTACTGCTGGTTTTCCTACTAAAGACTGAGGCAAAGAAGGCATTAAGTACCTCAACCTTTTCCTCATCCCCGGTCACTGTGCTTCCCCCCACATCTGCTAGAGGCGGGAGACTCTCCGTAGTTCTCCTTTTGTTTCCAATGTATTTATAGAAACCTTTTTTAGTGTCTTTAACAGCACTAGCTAGATTAAGTTCCAGCTGCGCTTTGGCTCTTCTAATTTTCTCCCTGCACAGCCTCACAGTAGCCTTGTACTCCTCCTGAGATGCCTGCCCCTTCTTCCGAAGATCATAAACTCTCTTCTTTTTCCTGAACTCCAGCTCCTGAGCTCTCTGTTCAGCCAGGCCAGTCTTCTTCCTTGTCGACTCGTTTTCTGACACACGGGGATGGCCTGTTCCTGCACCTTTAAGAGTTCCTTCTTGAAAAGTGTTCAGCCTTCCTGGACTCCTTTGCGCTTCAGAACTGCCTCCCAAGGAACTCTGCCAACTAGGTCCCTAAACAGGCCAAAGTCTGCCCGCCAGAAGTCCAAAGTGGCAGTTCTGCTAGCCCCCCTCCTTGCTTCTCCAAGGACTGAAAACTCGTATAATTTCATGATCACTATGCCCAAAACAGTCTCCAACCATCACATCTCCCACAAGACCTTCTCTGTTTGCAAACAGCAGGTCCAGCAGGACACCTTCCCTTGTCAGCTCCTTTACCAGCTGTGTCAGGAAGTTCTCTTTCACACGCTCCAGGAACCTCCAGGACTGTTCCCTCTCTGCTGTGTTATCTTTCCAGCAGATATCCGGGAAGTTGAAGTCCCCTACAAGTACAAGGGGAAGCGATTGCGAGGCTTCTCCCAGCTGCCTATGGAATATTTCTTCGTCCTGGTTAGGTGGTCTATAGCAAACTCCCACCATGATATCTGACTTGTTTGCCTTCCCCTTGATTCTTGCCCATAGGCACTCAACCCTGTTGTCAGTATCACCAATCTCTAGGCAGTCATAGCATTCCCTAACATACGTGGCCACCCCACCACCTTTCCTTCCTTGCTTATCCCTTCTGAAGAGCTTATAATTTCTTGATGGCTTGGAATCAAGACTGGATGCTAGGCTGGGGTCCAGACTGGCAGGATGAGCTGTTACAACATGTCTCCTTCCAACTTCCGAACTGCTATCCCACCAGTACTGTTTCCTAAGTGCCACAGCTCTGAGGATGTTTCCTGCAACCAGCTCAGGCTCAAACTCAGGATAAAGCACTGTCCTGGTCTCCCCCAGCACTCACACTTTTTCAAACCAGCAAAGAGTTTTGGGAGGGCCTTGTATGAGGCAGAAAGCAGAAAGGGTTAGGCTTTAATCTGAGCCAGGACTAGGCTAGGGGCTGGAGAAGCCACACAGAGCAGCTGAATCGTGTGGGCAAGACCCTGCACCAGAGGTCACGAGGGGGTAGTGCCACGGCGATGTATGTTAATGCGGGACCTGTCCTCGCTGGGTCAGTGAGGACGGGAGATACTGACTCTGCAGCACGTGAGCCTATTCTTGCACTTGTGCCTATGTAATGTTTAATGCTATCTCTTTCTCACGTCCTCCGGTGGCCAAGAAATAGCATCTGACAGTAAATTGATGGCACACAAATGCAAAAGTCATAGGCAAAGCTATAATCTTTGGTTTGCAAGGGAAAAAATTGCTGATGTTCATTGCTGTAATGACCAAAACCAAATTATTAAAGCTGAACTGTGTTTCTCAGAAAACATATTAAAAGTGAAAATAATATGTTTCTGGTTAATTCCTTTTTCCAATTGCAGGTTCAGTGAGTGAGAAGCTGCCACAACGGGAAGGTGCAGGAAAAACAGGTAAATATCTTAGTTGCCCTTTAAATAGAAACTGAAATAGCTGTGGTATGCACTACGATGATTTTCCATAGGTTTAAATTTTCAGTATATATTAATCATGTATTAGAGCTGCATATATAATATGTATGCATGCTATTCATTTTATGCCTGCATTGTAGATATTTAGTAAGCTTATGAGTATAAACATATATATATGTATGCATGTATTTGTCTGTATATCCATAGACATTATATTTTTCTAGACTCAGCCGTACAGACATTGCTATTTTGTGCTGTTTGGAAAATAGTTTTTCTTCTCATAGCTGTACTCTGAAATATTTTCCCATACTGTTTGCTTGCCCTGGAGGACAGATTATTCTGTCGGTTTGATAAGACAGCATTTTGCAGTCCCAAAATCTTGGGAACCGGAGTCCTCACTTTATTTCTGTAGCAATCAGTGCTTGAGTCATCTTGAACCCAGCAGTTTGCTCTATATTGTGATTAATCCTTCTGATGGCTTACATTCATGGCCAGATGACTGTTGGTGTTAGAGATGGATCATAGTGCGTATCTTGTTGGCAGGACAAAATCTGATGTGACTCCAACATAACTGGTAGTTTTAAATTATTTAAATGATTTAATTCAGCTGAAAATAACATACTAAATGTTGCTGTCAGTTACACTAGCATATATTAATTATAAAGACTTTACTCATATTGATGCTAATGTTAGTGACTATCTGTTTGGTCCACTGTAAATAATTTTTTTTTTTACAGGAACTTTTGCAGCATTCTAATATACCCAACATTTAAATACACTATTGCGCTGTTAGGTTAAGAAAATCAGTGCTTCTTTAAAGTCTAATAATTACGAAATACTGGAAAATTGTTCCTTCATGTATTTCCAAACAAATTGTGGGTTTCACTAACCTTAAGTTGCCCATTTGCTTTAGGTCAGGACTTTCATTCTCAGCTTTGAACTGAACGAACAATCCCATATATAAAACTCACCTGGAGTCCTTTATTTTTGTTTGTCACTCTGGTGGCTGAGCTGCTGAACCCTGAATGAACAATCATAGAAGAAGGAATTTAAATGAACACAGTTTATCAAGTCTTCCTTTGAATCACATATATTTGTGTCTAAAGTGACATGGTTGCATTTTACTCACACCTTGTTTTTACTCTCCAGCACAAGCCTGCAGCAAGAAGGGCCGCTGACCTCGTTCCCACGTGGTCCCTGGCTCTTCTCAGATGCTTCTAATTTCCTCTCCCCACCCTTCTTCCAGCCAGTCACTGCCTTATATTTTAAATAAAGTAATGATCATCGATCACATAGTAGTGAATAGGATCAGCTATCTGAGTGAAAGAGCTGTGCTTCGACTTTGCAGTCAGTGTAGTAAAAGGTATTTTGCAGCTCAGCTTGAAAGGTCACAGCAGTAGTTTTTCAAATAACCATAAAATCCAATATTGTCTTTCCTCTGCATGTTCCTGTGGACTAACCAGGGATACGTGGTTGGGAGTAGCTGCCTGTATTGTTACCCAGCAAGCAGGTTTACCCAGCAGCAGGTTCACAATGTTCTTGCTGCTGCAGAGGACGTGCTCCAGACCTTCAAAATGTGGTCTTGAGGACTCTGCTCAAGAGACAGCATAGCCTTAGCTGGAGATAGTCTCTTCTTCCAAGATGTCCTATAGGGACTCACAGGGGAAGATGAGCTGGCAGGCCATATCTATTGCAGTTGTGCACTTCACTTTCTCCAGGTATTTGAATACTGAAAGAAAATTTCCAGCTGCAGAATTTGAAGGTCAGGAGCTATGTTTGCACGTTAGCAAATTTGCACATTAAACCAAACAGGAATAAAACTTAAGAGATAATTCCTAACGTATCTTCCCTGGTCCCACAGATCCCTCTTCTATCCAAAGAAAATATTCAGACTATCTGAAGAGCACAGGTGTCAGAGATGGTATCACATATCTTTTTTCTGATTCTTAGCTGACTGCAGGATGATGTTCTTGGTAACTGAACTCTGACAACAAACAGAACTGTTTCTGTTTAACTGAATGCATATATGGACTGGTATGCATGTGCCAGCCTCAATACCTATGCAATTACGCTGTGAGATATATAATTAATATAAAGATGAATTGCTTTACAGTTGCGACTCTCTATTGAATGTTGTTTTGAACAATGAAATGTCACATGCCTCTGCATTCTTAACACAAAAGGATTTTATTAAAAGAGTATGTGCCTGAAAGATTGCAAACAGAAAGTTTATGTGGGTGTCTTCCTACAGATCAAGGGTAGTTCAGGAGCTGTTTTAGCTTCTCCAGTTCTGGAATTAATACCTTTTAGATTATGCAGATATCCTATACCAAATGTTTGGCTCATTGATGACCAGAAGCAAATATCTTTCTTTGTTTCTTTTTTTTTGGGGGAGGAATGGACCTGAAGCTAGTTTTATGACTCAACCATTAAACATCTATTGAGTAAAAAAAGAAAAAAAAGATAAACTGTTTTAAATGCTGTTTTAAAACATCTCATTTTGACTGGGATGATAATCACCAAAGTTGCAGCATTATATCTGAATTTCAGGTAATAACATCAAATAAAATCTATTACAAACTGAAACTGTGTACCAAAACATGGTGAGAAAAATGTCATTTAAACCCAAAAGTAAGTTTCTGACTGTGCTCTTGGTAATATTTATCTACTGTACCCTCTGAAATTATAGGTTTTCTGAATCACATACTGATTGATGTCTAAATTTACGTCTTGATTCTCAGTACAGTAGGATACTTGATGGCGTCTCTGAAATTAATCAATGGTCTTACTCCACCACCCAGAGGACACAACAAAAATGGCTGCAAGACTAATGAGAAGTGGCAGTCTGTTACAGCATTGAAACAAAGTGCCATGTCATTCTGTGGATATGAAGAATGAGCATTCTAAAAAGAAGTCTCTAAGTTTTGGTTGAAACATTTTGCAGTAAAAATAAGTTTCTACTGCTGCTGCTTTGGTTTTATGAAAAGCATCAAGGAAGTGTTTCATGGCTACAAATTTGGTTTTACCTGCTATCATTATTTACTTGGTATCTGTATTTGTGTGAACTAGATTAACAGAAAAAGCTTGTGATGGTGACAACAAAGGGAACAGGAGGAGGCTGTTCTGAATTGCAGTAGCAAGGTGGAATGGCAACAGGTTGTGTGTAAGCCTTAAAGATGCTGCTCACTTTTGTCCTGGTAGAGCTACATGAAAAGGAAGCTTCTCAGTTATCTTTGTTTCTAGCTTCTATAAAAATGCAGAAAAACAATCTGGAAACTATGTTGGTCTGAGGTCCAGTTGTGCAACTGCAATAAAAGCTAATAAAAACCTTGCATGGAAGATACTGTTTACTATGGGACATCTTGGTCTTGGAGTTAGCTCCATGATACAGGAAAGAGCAATGACTGGAAAATATGTACTAGCAAGACCTAGTAAGTCATTTTTACCTAATACCTGAAATAATTTTAAATAACAAAAACATAATAAGGTAAAGATAGGCCTTTGGTTACTGCTCTTTCTCACAGAATGCTAACTTAAATAATTTTTCATACTGAATTTTTCTATTCCAGCACTACTTCCACTCTGTTTTACTGAACCTATAATTACCCATTTCTGTAATTTTTGCTCCCTTTTTTCTTGCAGTAATGGTTGGTAGTGGATGGATGGAGGTGCCTGACCAGAAGATAAGAATTGCGCAAACAATGTTCCGGTTCTTTAATCTATGAATCTTGCTTATAAAATCAGCTTGACTGTTAAATAGAACCTGCTGTGCCGAAATAAACTTTCTTTTCATTTTAAAGATGTCGACATGTCTGCAGCCACTCATTCATCTTAGACTGTTTTTGCTTTCACAGGTCTTACCCCTTCTATACATTTATCTAATTAATTCTTTAGAAGTTCTGATTTGATCAGTTAAGATCTATAGGTATCGATATGAAGCATTAAAAATGAAGAATTACTGTCCAGGGAACAACCTGATCATTTAATGCCTCATCAAAGACCCTGCAATCATTTCATCAACCATAACCTCAAAAGCCATCCATTTGTAATTGGTGTACTGTAGATGTAATTTAACTATGCTGTGTAGTACCTATAAATGTTTAAATTATTGTTTGTTTACCGGCCGGGGCTATGTGCAAATCATTAGTATCAATCACGTATGTACACTTATTTAGCTTACTCTCATAATTGTAGTCTCCTTGCAAATCTTTTCCATTCTGAATTCAGATGATGCCTCAGCTCCCGCGCTGGAGACTCAGCCTCAAGGTGATGAAGAAGGTGAGCATCAACAGGAATTTAATAGTGCGGTATTGAACTATGCAGTATGGACCATGTACCTCAACGTCAAATGCTACTGTAGTGTTAGGGCAACTGCTGGAGCAGTTGCAAGAAGTTAAAAAAAATTGAAAGCATCTGTACCTTTTTCCAGATAAAGACAGCAAACACAATCCAATCTTTACTTTACAAGCAATGAATGTCGTGTGATAGCTTTGAGGTGACGCTGTAGCTATGAAGTCCAACATAAGCAATTTTAATTGTCATTACTCAGGGCAGAGACAGGTTTTAAACTTGATCCAGAGTGCAGGTTAAAACTGTATGGCCAAATACAGAAGATAAAGGATAAATTCCATCCTCAGGATATTGCCTAGTAATGTTAAGGTTTTTCAGGCTTATTTGCCTCTGGGGAAATTCAGTGCTCTGTAAATGGAAAGCTCAAGGCCTATATGCAATGATAGTTCTATACTGTGGCTGCCTTACCGCTCACTGTAAATCTCACAGAATCTAATCTGAATTTATTGCGTATTTTGGGTCCACACTAGGAGGTTTTTATTCCAATTAAACATAATTTTACTCTGCAAGTATTTATTTCAACCTTTTGTATGAATGGGATAAGGAAGTAATTATTCATGCCTTTGCATGAATAAAGATTTTAACTGTCCTAGCAGAAACCAGTGTGCGCTTTTCTTTTTTAGATCCATGTATCTTTAAAACTATCCACTTACTATTGAGCTGTTAGTAACTTCTAAAGAAACTGTAAAATTTACAAACTTTGTTTTGTTGTTTTTTTCCTAGATATAGCTTCTCGTTATCCTACTTTATGGACTGAGCAAGTAAAGAGTAGGCAGAACAAAACCAATAAAAGCTCAGGTAAGAACTTTTGTTGTCCTTACTTTGCAAAGCTCCTATGAAGACATGCATTAAGCCATGTTAAAAATGAAACAATTTAAGTGAAAGCCATTTTAATAACCATTATGCTTCCACTCTTAGCATACAACAATGATTTAATTATTTGCATTGTGATTATTTTGTAGGCTCGTACATCATACATTCCTTTCTATGGAAATATCTTTGGCCACACTTTACTAAATGTAGATTGACATTATTAAAGTCTATAGCTGACATCTGCTTGCATCTGTGAGGGAATCTGACATTTATTTTCTGCATCCTCTGCCTCTTTGTTATCTACTTCTGTTTTTTTGAGGGGTATGATGTGTAGCAAGAAGGTGCTTGGAAAATGACAGTGTGGGTTACATGTGTTTGGTGGTAAATATTAGCAGGCAAACCTGAAAAGAAGCAAAGTCCCATCAGAAATCAGCTGCCAGTTAACAGGAAATTGGAAAGACAGTGTTACCTGCTTTTTGCTACATCACTCATCTGCTATTTACAGATTGATTGCCAGTTTAGTGTGAATTAATTATGTTGACTTTTTTATACTTCTCTAAGTTGACTCTAAGTTTTGATGCCTTCCCCACTGTTCTTTCCTTTCAGTGAAACAGACTTCAGAGAATCTTCTTGAGTTTCTTGGTTACTTTTTCTCTGAAAAAATGTTTAATTTGAAAGGAAACATCAATGATACAGGCTGTGACTCAGTAAATCACCCCAAAGCACACTTAAGATCCAGTGGAAATTGAGGTCATGCTTTACATTAAGTACTATGCATAAGTATTTTACTGAATCGAGCCCCATAAGAATTTAAAAAGACAAGCAATCACCATAAGACAGATAGACATATCCTTACTAAGAGGTTTATAAATTCCTTTATATAAGGTATTCCTAATATCAAAGCAGTGATTCTTAATATTTTTTCCGTCTCCTTGATGCTCCAGTAGGCACTTAAAGAAAGGACCTTAAACAGAGCATTTAAGGCAATAGTTTGAGGCAAACACTTCCTGTACTGGAGATTTATTCTGTCATTTGTTTAGGCGGTGTTAGCAAGAACAGACTTCCTTTGGGATTTCTGCTGTGTAAAATATGTATATAAAAATATGTCTCTTTTAGGAGTGTTTATTTAATTTTTACAATGCTAAGGACTAGATCTAAAGCAAGAATTCTTGAGTTCGCAGTGCAGCTGCTGGAAGCTAAAGCTTCAACAGGAACAGAAAAATTAGAAAAACACCAAAGAAAAGGTGGATTTATTATTAGGACCTTGTAAATTCCTGTCCATCTAAAGACATATTTTTAAAGGAAGAGATACCAGAAGCACAGTCTACCTGTCTTATGCGAGCCCACGGTACATTACTGTCAAAAGCATGATTGTGCTGGATGTGCTAACAACAAGAGTTACTCACAACTGTATTATGTACAGGGAATCTCTGAAGGGCTGGCATATGCTGCAGTCTGTGGTGCCATACCTGGACTAGCAGAAGTAAATCAGCAAGCTTTGCTTCAATTTATAGGCCTATCTGATGCGCCAGAAGGGATCACCGCTCTCTCTTCTCTAACTTCTCTTGTATATGCAATCTGACATAATCAATCAAGATGAATCTAGGTTGTAAAAACAGTGACATCACCAGTTGTGTCAGGCAGTATCTCTCTTCTAGACTCCAGAAATATGATGTGTGTCAGTGACCATGTATTAGTAAGTTGTTTTGATGGCTGAGCCTCACTGATGCTCAGTAAACAGGTCTTTTAAAGTCTTGAAAAAACTAAGTTAGATTTTCCTCTTATTACCTCTCAGAGTGGTGCCAAGGCTTTTGAGAACATCCACAGAGAATGAATGCTGGGCTGCTATGTGTATGGAATAGTAAGGAACTCATGATTCAGTCCACTGGATTGTAAACTAACCACCTTTGGACACCCAGGCTTCAATATAAGGGATAAATACAGGTGTCATCTTTACTCAGTTTGCTTAGCAAACTCTGATTCAGACTTTCTCATACAAACACCAAAAAAAATTACTGAGTAAATGAGGAGAATTTGTGTCTGCATATGAATGGTGTTTATAAAACAAAATATGAAAACCAACTTATTGATAACAGGTTAAATTTTCCTTTGTTGTTCTATAGTAACCCAAGTGCTTTCACATAAATTCTTCAGGTACAAAAACCACTATGACCTAGCTCTGCTAATTCTAAAAATTTCAGGCAGACTCCAAATATCCTACTTAAAAGGTGACTATTTTAGTCTGTATAGCATTTATTTTTTCTAGCTTTTACGTGAATATATGTCTGAATACGTTATGGTCAACAAGTCATGTTCATAAAGAAACTTGTCTTGACCTGACAAATTAACCTCCTAAGGAGAAGGTTTTTGTGAGTTAAAGTACACAAATGAATACATTACATTTATTGTACTCATCCTGAAGTGGTTTCCTTTTTCTGCTTTGCAAATGACCTGCCAGTTACAAATAGCTGGTAAAATTAGCATAAGCTTTTAGGTTTTGGAAAATAGAAAATAATGTCTCAGAAAATTCTAGTGTATATTAGTTATCCAGTGCTTTCATTTGATTACATTTGCCTAAATTAATTTAGCATAAAGTACAGATGCAGGGAATGAAATTACTGGATTATGTATCCATGCTCTGTAATGACTTCTAGTGCATATTCTTTTTGCTGAATTGGAAAAATAGGCCTTTGCTCTTCACTAAAGCCATTTGTACAGTGGTCTTTAACCTATTAGTTTTTCATGACAAAATGTTACTGCTGACAAAAACCCCATTGACACTGGATCATGTATCAAAAGCTCTGTTTAGAGTGGTGGATTTGGATAGAAACATTTTCATTTTAGGTCTTTTTTATGTTGAAGATGATTATAAGAATTTTTAAAATACTTTTACTGTCCAGAATTGGGGAAAAAATGTATGCATCTGATTGCTAAAATAACAGTGTGTTTGCTGAGTGCCTTTGCAGGTATTTTGTGAATTTTTTCATTCTCTAGCCTATATGAATGTATCTGTGCTTTAGATAAACTTTATCCCACCCCAGTATCAGTTGAAAATGAAGGCAATATTCTTTTAGAGCTTTTGTGATTTGTAAAGACCAGGGGACAGAATGTTTTTTTCCTTGAAGAAACTGGATGTTTTGAACTATGTCCTCAGTAGATGCCAGTTGCTGTAGCTTCAGGCCTAGGAGCAACCTTGATGTGGGTGGAGAATGGTACATGACAGTGCTGATACTTTCCTATCACCTAACAGGGAAAATGCTGTTCCCTTGAGGAGAGCTTAGGTTGGATTCTAAATCTCTTAGATTCTCCTTGCTACATCTACTATACCAGCAGTTTATATCCCTGTGGGATTCTTGGGAACCAAGTATGGCATTTTTCAGAGGATGTATGTCAATGTTTGAGTTTGAGTATGGGCAAAGGAAGAGTAGTTTGAGCCTTTTCACAATGGCCAGTGAAGCTTAGGATTAATTTTGTTAGCTTGAATTTAAAAGCCAGATTTTTCTAACTGTTGTGGAAGCACTTCCATGAAAAATAATTAGGGTGAGTTTAACTGATAATATTGTTGATTTAAAAAAAAATTGTTAAAGTACTGAGTAATTTCTAAGTACAATCCGTACACCACACAAAAGAGAATAAGTAATACTCAGTATAAAATGTCATTAATTTTGCAAACACAAGGATGCAAAAAGTCATCCATAACTTGGAATATACTTACATATGTGCTTAAGGACTTTAGAGATTGTGGTGACAATGTAATTCGCGTTAAAAGAGGCAGGGTTAAATAACATATAATTGGCTAAGACACAGTACAGTTTCACATATTTACAACAGTTCTATTCTCTTATTATTAATACTTCTGTATTCTGTTTTCTTAAAGATTGAGTAATATGGCATTATTAGCACTAACATTTTTTATGTTCATTGATCAGTTGTGTAGTTTGTTTAATGAATATAAAGTGATTGAAAAATTGGTGTTTGTTTTGTTGACAATCCAGTATGACCAGCAAAATAGAAAACAGGAAGAAATGGTTGCATTTCTTTGTTCTTTACTGAACTTGGATTCATGTGTTAAATTCAAACACATTAAATGAGTGGGTAGAAATTTAGGGCGCTGGCAGTCAGTGGCAGAGCTCTCAGACAGCGGTTGAACAACCATTCATACTCCAACTACATGCTACTAGTTCACCCAGTGGTTCACATTTCATCTGGATCAGACGCAGGCACGTGATGTAATGCTTGTGCCAGCTTCATGCTTTCTGCCAGCTTTATGCTTATATGCTTAAAACAGGTGCTAGAGGACAAGCCATACATGATTGTGCATAAAATAGAGTCAGCCCAGACGAAACCCTGTTCTGGCATGAAGCCTGCTGAGGCAGGGTCAGGCTGTCAAAATTCTTAACACATCTCTGCAAAAAATCGTGGATCATGTGATTATGGCATTTTTCATCCAGAACAAATAACCCTATTTGAGAAATCATTGTCTCCTCAGACTGTGGCTTTAGTGACTTAATGAGTGCCCAAATTTCAGCCACTGTACCTAGATATTCTGGTAGTGTAGAGTCATCTTCAGTTTCATTTTTGACTTTGGTTGTGCACACATGAAAGGAACACATAGCTTTTTATTTAGTTTTCTGACACAACAGAGTAGTGTGTGATTGCTGTGATTTTACTACAGACCATCAGTTTCAGGATTTTAAAAATATGTTACAAGATTTTATCAATTAGCCCCAGAGGGCTCAATCCAACAGGAGTTTCATTCTCCTAACCCCATCTGGGAGAACACTGAAGTGTGCATACAGTAGTATAGTGTAGACTGGCTGCAAATGCAAATGAAAACAGCTAGTATACAGTCTACTGTGAATACATTCTCAGTAGACAAAAATAGGGAATTTGAAGTGATAACGTAGCCAGCAATTATGTGTCTGTATCTATACCAAATAGCTGCTTGCATTTATATGTCCATATAGTCTGAATCTGTTGGCAAA